TGTTTTTTTTTTTTTTTTTGAATTATTATTCAGGAAATGTGAAATAGTTTGAACCTAATTTTGTCATTTTTATTCAAAACACCTGCTGAAATATATATTACTTTACTAGTAATAAGTTAATGCAAGAACAAATTTTATAGTTATCGATATACGATTGAATTAATCGATTAATTGTTTATATTTAAATCTAAAATGCACTTAACTAATAATTAAATTATTAAAAGAAGACAGATACATATGGATTTATCGATATACGATAACATTAATCGATTAATTGTTTAAATTGCTAAATAAATATATTATTCTAATAAAGATAAGAATAAAACATTTTTCTTACTTATCGACAAACGATTAAATTAATCGATTAATTGTTAAATTTTCTAAATCTGAAATATATTTTACTAGTAAAGATGTTAGTGCAAGAAAAGATATTTGTAGTTATCGATAAACGATTAAATAAATAGATTAATAGCCGTTATTGAGGTACTTAATCTGAAATGTGTTTCACAAATAAGTAAATGATTACAAAAACACACATACATATATATTTATCTATATACATACACTTACATTAATCGATTAATTGATGTGCTACTTTTCATCACCACTGACTATCTGCTTCCGAAAGTTAACGAGATAGTAAGGAAAGTTTAATTGCAGACGGCATCAAAATCAGACAATGGGAGTGACACCGCCTACCAATATGTGGAGTTTTATATTTCAAATGTGAAAAATGTGGAAATGTGATTTAGATATTTTGAAGTTAAAAATATATGTTATTGAAATATGTTACACAAATAATGAAATTACTCCTATTGTTCATATGGAAATTAAAAGTAAAACCCTAAAGTAGCTTGCCTAGTATATATATTGCATTTAATTTATTAAAAACTAAATTTTCTCTTCACTGACCAGTATGAGACAAAAAAAGGAGAATATCATTGGTAATCAACCCCATCTTAGACACACAAACACATGTATGCCCTTGACAGAAGTACGACGGAAAACCAACATGGCTTGGTTCAAAATACGCATGAGTCAAAATTTTCGCAAAAGAGGTCAAGTGTTGTGCATATGATTTATATTTTCATACAGCTGCCGTATGCACACATAGACATAAATACATATATACAAATAAAGAAATATTAAAAGTATACGGTTAATGACATTACAAACACATATACATACATATATGCATATATTGCATGGCGAAATAGCACGGCAAGCACTTCAGATAAATTATGAATGATATTTGTACATTTTTACTATACAAAAGACTGCAAAAATGTTGCTTGTATGTATCTGTGTTGGTGCAAGCGCCCGTCTGCCAAAAGTAGCACAACAAGTACGTAAGAAAAATTACATTGTTCTCAACACTGTAATGAGTTGATGCACTCGAAAAATATTTGGCTAAGATAAGCGACAGATAATGAGAACTGTTGTTCGCAACGCAGCAACGCGCAATAACAAATATAACAAGTGAAATTCAACAGCAAAATATGAGCACTTAAGCTGCTGGCGAATATGTCTGTATGTAAATATTATACATACATTCGTCTGTCTGCAGGCAATATCAAGATACGCGGTAGTAACAATAGCTATGATGAGGCAAATGAGGTAATGCTGTTTTTTTATATTATTATTTTTATTCTTCTTTAAATAAGCTGCAATTTCGTGAATTTGCATCCCTCAGCAATAAGCTTTTACTGATCTTCAATTAAAATTTACAAGGCGGAAGCGATGTAATCTGATTTATATTCACAGAGTGGCTACTTGAAGTTGATGGATAATGATCCATTGTTATAAAAAAAGATTACATGCCAGAACATATCAGAAAATAATACAAGAGTCAAGAGAAATGAAACTTAATCATTAATTTTGGGGTAATTATGTTAGAATTGATGAATATTTATATTCTTCGAGGACACATTTTACAAGAATACTTGTGCATCAAGGTTTATATCTGTCGAGGCACTGTTAACTCAGCAAAACTCTTCAAAATTATTTGTGTGCTTTTTGGAGATATAACAAACATTACATAGAAAAGTAGTGAAGGAAATGTTCTTTGAAACGTGAAATTTCGGGATCCAAGCTCGGGGTTAACATTTTGGGGACACCTACCTGAATACTACTTCAAATCACGAAATATCATGTTGAATGAGTATAATTTTAGAAACTCTGAGAAACTAAGAAACCACTCCCACAACAGTCGGATCTATGTACGTAACCGGAACGGACCAGCCCTAGGACTGTCAAACCGGCAGCATTCTCTGCTTTGACTGTATTTAGATCCAGAATATGAATCAGTTAAATGGTTCTTTTCTGAAACTTTTCAGTTTTATGGATGCCGAAGTTAAACAAGATTGCTATGAAAGGCCAAAAACGATCATTTGGGATCGCTGATGAAAATACAATCAATTCTCGTTGAATAAACCCATATTACAGTTTTCAATACAAATGCTGGTTCCAGAGGAATGACGTTTAAAAACGGGTCTTAAAAATGAAATTTCTGCACTATTTTTAATATTGAAGTTCCAGTAGCGGGCACCGTAATTTCATAAAAAATTACGAATCCGGCACAACTTCATATAATACCGAGAATTTGTTGGAACCAAACACAATTTAAATACCTATATAATACAAAGTTGACATACAACATTAATCGGTATCGCATTCGTCTTGATACAAATTTCTTCGCAACAAGATCAATTTCATATTAACCAAGCTCTGCAAATCCACCCTTGACTATCCATACCTTATATCGAAGGAAAACTAAACTAACGAGTGCCTCCGACTGAACACAACCTAAATATAACTTTAATTTTGCCTGCAACATTAATCGACATTGTCTTCATTTTGATCCCAATTACTGAGCTTATGATCAATTTCAGATTAACCAAAGTTTTCTAAATCAAGCCTTTTACTTTTGGCATAAGAAGACTACGTTCATACCTTATGTCGGAGAATACTAAACTAACGAAGACCTCTTACCGAACAGAAACTAAATATAAATTCAATTTAGTATGCAACTTTAATAGCTATCTCCATCGTTTTTGCTCAACAAGATCAATTTCACATTAACCCAGCTTTTCAAATCCTATATTTCTTTCCTGGTAGAAAAAAGAATGGTAATGCCTTATATCTAAGAAAAATTAAACTAACTAGGGTCCTACTTGGCTACGTAGGCCAAACTATCTAGTAAATTCAAAAACACTTTCGTACCTGCAATCTTAATATTTTGGAAATGTTAATCCTGGTGATAAAACTTTGCTGTCTTGCGCTGGGAGTATTTATATCCAGTTTTTCGCTAGAACCGTCCCAAAAAATATATCGCAAAGTGTCAAAGAACTGTCAAAAATATGTATAAAAAGCTTAATACCTTCATCACTATCATTATCAGGGAATAAGACAATATGTTTCTCCAATTTCTAACAAAACTTATACAAATGTTTTGCCTTGAGCGTAAAATTTTTGAAGAAAAGCTAACAACGAATAAAAACATCGCAAACTTGCTGCTCAAGAAAGCGCCAACAATTCCACTCAAAAGTTATCTAAAGAGAAAACGAGGGAGAGAGAGAACGAGAACGGGAGTAAAAGTGGCGCCGTTTGGGAGCAACGATTACCACTAATGCATGCATAAAAGCTCTCGTCCAATGAGCACTGATCAATAAATATTGATGCGCCAACTGCCAAGCATAAGCCAAAAGAGCGTGTGAGAGCAAACCCACAATATCTAAGAGAAAAGCAAATTACTATAAAACGTAATAAAGAGCGCTACAAATGACAAACGTCAAATGGAGCATACAAATATTTTGTTAGATTTTTTTTTTATAAAAACAAAAACACTGCGGAACAGCAACAAGTGATCGCATTTTGCCGGCTCCCCAACATTGATGACAACAACGTCAAGCAGCGCCGTTAGCGGCGCACAAACAAAACTTGGACTGCGTGTTTGCGTACGAAGCGCGCTCAGCTGCTACCAACAACTTGCCGCTATGGCTGTTTGACAGCGCGCTTTCGTACTCGTAAATTGCGACGAACGTTTTGATCTTTTTAGCCGGTTTTGCGAACGTCGTGCGCGCGTTGGTCAGCCGGCAACGTCGTCTGCGGCGGCGGCGGCGGCGGCTACCTTTCGCAGCAGTTCCAAGCGACAACTGCGCGACAGAGTTAGCCCAGCACCAGGCAAGGCGTCAAACGTTAACTTTTTCAAAACGCTAGCGTACCAATCAGTCGTTCTTGAATTGCGAGCGCGTGCGAACGTTCGGTATTAAGTTAAATTTTGTCGATAGAAATATTATTTGGTTGCCGAAAAATTGTTTGTGTAATATTTTTTTTTGTATGACGAAAGCGAACAATTTAATTTAGTTGATTTATGAAAAATTTATTACGTACAATAAATTTACGTGAACGGCAGTGGTGTGAGAAATATACCAAATTAACTGCAAAAATAGTGGCGTGTGTTAAAATCTGTAATATATAGGTGAATAGCTGAAGAAAGCAAGAAAAAATTTAAGTGAAACGATAAATTTTGTTGTTCCGGAAATTTTACGAACTGGGTATTTTGGTGAAATATTGGGGTAGTTTTGTGAAACATTTGGGAAAGCAAATGCTGATTGAGTATGGAATATGAAAATTAATGTTTAGATATTATATTATAACATGTAAAACGCTGTTATATTATAATAACAACAAATTTAAAACAAACAAAAAAAGAAAAAAGGAATAAAATAGAATTAAAAAATAGCAAAAATAGAAACTACTCAATTTGATTGACGTTTTACAATTAAACAAAGCTCGTGTTTTTTTTTTTTTTTTGTTTTTTGTTGTTTTGACTACCCATAACTGTGAGGAAGCACTGTTAAAAATATATAAAAAATAAAAAAAATAATTGAAAATATATATAAAAAATAAAAAAAAAATAATTGAAAATATATAAAAAAAAATAAAAATAATAATAATTAAAAATATATAAGAAAGTTATTTAAAAACAAGTATACAAAAGCACAACAATAATAACAATTTAGTTAAAAAAACTTGTAAAGGTAAGTCTACATAATACCAACTTCTTTTAATATAATATATTTTCCAATTTAAACTGTAATACTTTTTGTTAATATTTTTATTTATTCGAGCCGATAAAATTTTTTTTTTCATTAATTATATTTATCTTTCGCAATTTTTTTAAATTCTTTTCCCGCTTGACATTTCTAAAATCTCCAAAATTGTGTCAAAACTTTCAACACACAATATAGATATCCGTTTTCAAGCCAATAATAAATTTTGCAAACAACAGGTGTTTCTGACAAAAATTTTGAAATAAATAACAGTGAAAAATATACGAGCACAAATTTTTTAATTTAAATATAAACTCTTAAACTCATACTACGTGACAAGTACACAGCTCTACAAAAGAAAAAAAAATTTTAGGCAAGCAGTTTTTTTTTTTTTGTTGCACTAGATGTCTCAGTCAGAGAAGTTTGTTTTAAGTTCTCTGTCTCAGTATAATTTTAATGCTTTGAAGTGTCCAGATTGCGACCTTATTTATGAAAATACTGAATGTGTTCTTGTGTTTAAAGTAATTGCATGTCTAATTAATTGATAAATATCAACTTACTAAAGTGTGACCCATTTTGGGGTTCCTTACTTTTTTAGAGGAAAAGCACAGAAACAGATTCTGATGATTCACTCGGCCCATAAACATCGCCAAATACTTCATTTTGATGAAATGGCAGCTTTCCTCTTCAGGTTGCTTTTTGTCCCAAATGCGGCAATTGTGCTTGTTTACATATACATTCAACCAGAAATGGGCCGCATCGCTGAACAAAAATTGGCTCAAAAACGTCGACTGCTAAAATCGAAAAGATCGAGCGTAATTTTTTTTTTTTTACATAAAGTTCAATAGTCAATAAGACAAAGAACCGCTCGAAGTAATAAAAATATTTTTGCAATTTGTCGATTCCAAGATGTTCTCAGTAATTGGGAATGCTTCAAATCACAACGCGGCGAATTTCGCAAAAATGTTTTGGGCTACCATCTGTATAAAATTGTACGCATTCAAGAACGTCATGAATTTGCTGATTTCTCTTTGAAAAAACTTGAAAACCATAAGAATTTTTTTAAGAAAACCATCTTCTGCGATGAAGCTGACTTTCATCAGTGTTATCATCGATTTGTAACGCTCTGACAGTAGCGGTTATGGTGCGATAAATAAACAAAACTGTCGGTTCCGGTAGGTTTTGGTCTATTGGGATCATCGGTCTGTACTTCTTTCGAAATGAAGCTGGTGGTGACACCATTACTGTCAATGGAAAGCGGTACAGATCGATGATAACCTACTTTTTATGGCCGTAATTAGACCAGGTTGATCTTAACTGTATCTGGTTTCAGCAATACGAGCTTATGTGCCACAGTTTGGAGATACAATTATTTGAAAAAATTGGGACTTTGAAAAGTTGCTCAAGGAAGTTTTGATTAAAACCATTATACTACTTATTGTGGGGTTATTTAAAGTCACTGCTCTTTAGCATTAAACTAGATTCTATTCAAGCTTTGGAAGTCAATATAACGTGCTATTCATAACATACGACTTGTTTTAGTGGAAAATGTACTCTAAAATTGGGTTCATTAATTCGTTCCTGCAAAAGTAGTCCTACAATCCTTATCGATTGTACTTCAGATTAAATAAAAATATATTGGAATGAGTTTTTTCTTTTTTTTATTTTATTTTTTTTTTTTTATTTTTTTTTTTTTTTTTTTTTTTTCTTTTTTTGTTTTTTTTTGTTTTTTTTTTTTTTTTTTTTTTAAAGAAATAATGTCACTGTTATTGGAAAACTCTATATACATATGAAGTCAATTGAACTATGCCCATTGTTTTATCTGTCTATACGCTAGCTACTCCCGCAAATTTAGAGATATCGAATTGAAATTGGGCACACGTCCTTTTCTCACCAATAAGCTGTTCTGTTAGTGGAATTGCTGATATCGGATCGAGTAAAATGAAATTCTTGTATGCCAACCTTTAGATGAGGTTCTCTACCTCCAAGTGGGATGACAAATGGAGTGATCTCTGCTTCTTGATTGAATGGAGTGATCTACTAGTATATATTTTGGGAAAGCCTTCCAAAATGGAGTTTTTTAATAAAGCTCTTGTTTGGCAATATTTCATTATTGTATTGATTGCTTTCACAATTTTTTTTTTGTTTTTTGAATAAAGCGCTTTGTTCTCAATTACAAGTGAAAAGGGAAATATTTTTGTGTTTATTAATGTTGGCGTACGATTATAAGCAACAGGCTTTAAAGCGATGTAAATATTTTTTAACGAATATAAAATAATAATTTTTGAGAAATATATATATGTATGTGACCTGGTCTACGAAAAGGGAGCTAACGTGTGAAAACTAGTTTATGACTTTTTGGATTCTATCACGTGAAAAAGCATCTCATCTTCCATCCCAATCAACTAAGATTTTTTAACACCTAAGCCCCCTTTCCGTAGACCAGGTCACATATATGTATATAAGCTTTTATATCAATAAATATCAATATATTTTTTTTAATACTGCCAGTTTAAAAACACACGCTTTTGTATAATATATGCGTGGATAAAATAATTTATTGAACTACCATAAATTATACACCGAGAAGCAGCCGAATTCCCAACAAACATTAAATACGTCACAGCAGCCGCAGTGCCGCAAGCTGCACAGTAGCGCTTAGAAAAATCATAATGGTGTTGAGAGACTAATAAAAAACACATAAATAAATAAAATAAAAATAAGTAATAAGAAAAAACTTGAAAGCGTTGCGACGCGCTGCGAAATGCGTAAAAGCAAATGCGCGCGCATACCCATAAACACACACATATATATACATATACATATATATATATATACATAATACATATATACATAAAAACTCAATAATCAACAAATACTAGTACAAAAACAAATTCACGGAAAAGTTGTTATAGGAAAAGAATTGCACGCTAGCAAGCTGTCATGGCAAACACTATACTCGGAGATACTCACATTAGATTTTGAAAAGTTAATCGTTGTTGTTGTATTTCAATCATTCCCACTTTTGTATTGTAGTTTTTGGTAACTGAATGCTAGTCACTACGTTTACTATATCAGACAACTCCATATTACATACGTTCCGAGCCAGCATAGTGTATGTTTGTACGTATGCCGGTGTGAAGGTAAGCGGCGCAGCGTTAGTTTTCTCTGTGCGCTTACTTACGCATCATACTATTTTTTTTTTTTGTGTTTTGTAGATAAGATAAGCAAATAACACGTCTAGTACTGAGGTAAGCGTTGGAAACATGCATTGTGGATATGTACATACATATATGTATATATGTTTATGTGTGTGTGATGTATGAGTATAGCTCCACGCAGACGTGAAGTGAAGCAAAGTGTGATAAAGTTATTTTTTGTATGGTTTGGAGTCATGCTGCTTAATGGGCCATAATATAATTTTTTTTTTTTGTTTTTTTTTTTTTGTTTTAATATTCAAAGATAAA